GGTGCCTCGGGGCGTGCCCGGGATCCGAACCCGGACCGCCAGCAGCGGAGCGCACGCAGTTCACCACTAAGCCACGGGGCCGGCCCTGAATCAGTTTATTTAAATGTACATATAGTAAAATTCACTTTTTGTGGTGTACAGTTCTATAGATTTTGAAAAATGCATTGAGTCACGTATTCACCACAGTAGTCATGATACAGAACAATTTCATCAACCAAAAAAATTCCCTCATATACCCCTTTATAGTCAACCCCTCCTCTCACCCATAATCTTTTGCATATCCTTATGGTTATAAGAGCTGTGAGTATGCAGAGCATGGGATAAACTACTACCTTTTTGAGCCATAATTTCTGTATTTGTAAAATGGCCGTATTGGTAATGACCCCGTGAGTTTGTTGTGAGGACTGTGATCAGATAATCTCTGGGGCATTACTTAGCACAGGGCCTGGCAGACATTTGATAAATTTGATAAATGTTGGTTCCTTATCCGCCTCCTCTAAAAAGCCCCTGGTTCTATTTCATCGGTTATCTTCAGACTTAAAAATATTTTTAGTATTACTAACCTAGTGAGGATTGTTTTTCTTCTACTTATTTTTTAAAAATTTTTTATTATGGAAAATTTCAAATATAGAATTAGAGAGAGTAGTATAATGAACCCCTATATACCCATCACCCAGCTGCAACTGTTACTAACTCAGAGCCAATCTTGTTTTTCCGTCTCTGTCCATACCCACCGCATCCCCACTTCCGGGTTGTTTTGAAGTAAGTCTTGTAACTATTTCCATCTGTGAATATTTCAGTATATATCTCTAAAAGATAACTCACTTTGAAAAAATAACCACAATAGCATTGTCATACATTAAAAATTTAACAGTAGTTCCTTAATATCGTTAAACATCCAGTGTTCAGATTTTCCCAATTGTATCTCTCTTCAAATCAGGATTCAAATAAGGTTCACATGTTGCAACTGGTGGATCTATCTCTTAAATTTCTTTTAATCTAAATATTTTCCCTCCCTCTCTGTTTTTTTCTTGCAGTTTATTTCTAGAAGAATATTGCCTATTTTTGAATGCTTGAAAATATTTTTTTTTTTTTGGTGAGGAAGATGGGCCCTGAGCTAACATCTGCCAATCCTCCTCTTTTTTTTTTTTTTTTTTTGCTGAGGAAGACTGGCCCTGGGCTAACATCCGTGCCCATCTTCCTCCACTTTATATGGGACGCCTGCCACAGCATGGCCTGACAAGTGCTGCGTCACTGTGCGCCCGGGATCCGAACTGGCGAACCCTGGGCCGCCGCAGCAGACCACGCGCACTTAACTCCTTGCACCACCAGGCTGGCCCCAAAAATATTTTTGAATAAGTAACAAATAATTTGCGGCTTTTACTTAGGAAACTCATAATGCCAATGATTTAACTGATAGATAACTTCAAGGGAAAATTGAAATGTACAGAATTAAACTTGTTTTTGGCTGAATTATGTGATTATGAAGTCACGAATATTGACTTTTGAGACTGTAAACAGTATTTATTAAAGTTTTTAAACCCTGTTTACAGGTTAAGGACTCAGTCTCTGAGAAAACAATTGGACTGATGCGAATGCAGTTTTGGAGGAAAACTGTGGACGATATATACTGTGACAATCCACCACACCAGCCTGTGGCCATTGAATTGTGGAAGGTAAAAGAAAAATACTGCTTTTAATTTGTAAGAATGTTATTTGAGCATACTTCTGATGCATACAATTTGGATAGTGGCAATGGGGAATCTATCCTGAAAATATTCTTAGGCTTGTGTAATATTCAGGTCTATGTTAGTTTTGATAAATGAATTAAAAATCATCTGCCGATAATTTGCACAGATCTTTGATGTATTTCTTTATTAAAGGAAAAAAAAGGGAATCTGGTCTCTTTATGTTATAAATTACATATTTATTTTCTACACCTTGGGTTGCAGAATTTTTTTTTTTTTTGCTGAGGAAGACTGGCTCTGGGCTAACATCCGTGCCCATCTTCCTCTGCTTTATATGGGATGCCGCTGCAGCACAGCTTAACAATTGATGTGTCGGTGTGCGCCTGGGATCCGAACCAGCGAACCCTGGGCCGCCGCAGTGGAGCGCGAGCACTTAACTGCTTGCACTACCGGGCCAGCCCTGGTTGCAGAATTTAAACCCTACAAATTTTGAGGCAACGGCCGGTAGGTTTTCTGTTCTGTGTGCCCAGCAGCTCCTTATCTCAGTGCTTTAATCCATATTCTGGGCTGTAGAAAAACATGTATTGATCTTTTGTGAAGGGAGACTTGCTCCCACCATCGTCCAGGCACAAATCTAAAACTACTTTGTCTGGTTTGATAGAATTGCTTATTCGTTGATAAATTTTAGGTATTAGAGAATGGAAACCTATGGACTAGAGTATTATTTGTATAGCTAGATGTATGTAGTAAATGGTTTACATTAAAGCAGTTATATGGACCCCTCATTCATAAACAGCCATGCAGAGTTTAGAAATATGCTAAACTATGAACGGAGGAAGGGAATTAGGTGTCGTTCGTCACTGATCTGTATCCCCATTGTAATATGATAGTGCCACAAGACAGTTTCTATAACAGGAGCCCCTGACAGGCTTGACAGTGGTACACCTCTTCTCAGGTCTGCGTGCCAGCAGAGGCAGGCCCCATTTCTGGGCCCCAGATTGACTTCACAGAGCCCCAGTAAGGATGGAAAGCCAGGCCCTCTCTCCCCACCAGGGACTGAGAAGAAAAAGTGGATGGGAAGCTGTGAGTATTAGATTAGTTGTTTGTCTCTATTTGTCCCACTTCTAGAACCTTGACCTAGGTGACTCAGTTTAAAGATTTTTTATTTATTCATTTTTTTTCCCCCCAAAGCCCCAGCAGATAGTTGTATGTCACAGGTTCACATCCTTCTAGTTGCTGTACGTGGGTCTCGGCCTCACGTTGGACGGAGAAGTGGTGCCTCGGGGCGTGCCCGGGATCCGAACCCGGGCCGCCAGCATCAGAGCGCACGCACTTAACCGCTAAGCCACGGAGCCGGCCGGTGACTCAGTTTAGAGAAAAGTTTCTGTGAAATCAGAAACTCTTTCTATTTATTATTTTATACACAAACTTGACTGCAGTAGAGGTTTATGCTAAGACTTGCATTGAAGTTTCTGGCCTTTGTCAGGAAATATCATGGAAGATCTGAGATTCCTTTAACACAAATTTATCTTCCCTTGGCTTCTCTTAAAAAAATCAGAAGACAGGCCAGTCCTGGTGGCCTAGTGGTTAAGTTCGGCACGCTCCGTTTTGGCGGCCCTGGTTCAGTTCCCGGGCGTGGACCTACAACACTGGTCTGCCAGTGGCCATGCTGTGCTGGCGGCTCACATACAAAAAGAGGAAGATTGGCAACAGATGTTAGCTCAGGGAAAATCTTCCTCAGCAAAAAAAAAAAAAAAGCAAAAACCAGAAGACATATCTGAATTACAGAATGTTTACATGTATGCCAATTTTTCCAGTTTTAATAGCTGCTTGAATCTTGATGATTGATGTTGTCCAGCATTCTGATGTGACTGGTGTTGAAGGTTAATAGGAATATTTGAAAGAAGCAGGCAGTGTTCAGAGCAGTTGTCCCCATTGCATGTTCTCCATTCTGCTGGAGCATGTGCTGTTGTGCCCCTGTCCACTGAAACTTTCCATTGGTTCTTTCGGGAGTGTCAGCTCCTTTAGAAGATGAGATAGGGAACCAGTGACAGTGTGTTGTCCAGAGAGCACTTTCCTGCCGCCGTGTTTCGTTGGTGCTTTTTGGTACAAAATAGTTGAATATCCATAATTTCTTATACATTTGATATGGTCTTCTCCATTTCTCTGTGTATTAATGTTAGTGCAGTTTGAATTTATGTATATAGCCCAGGTTTTTATTCTATGTGGCTTCTATTTCCAAAGTTCTTGATACTTTATTCAGCAGGTTTTATATTTCTTATAAATATTTATTTTTTACCTTGATCTCTGATTTCCTTCAGAAGCAGACAGAAGAGCTATATTTTGTGGCCAAGGAACTACACCTGTTATAGTCTCAGCCTTGAGTAAATAGAATCTGAGTTTTTTTTTTTTT